CCTGGGGTTCTTTCTGAAAGAGAAACTGCGGGAAGGCAGAGCTGCTCTTTGTGCCCCAGCCCCTTTAGAGGAGGGGGAGCCATACACAAGGCCCCCCTGACCACTGGGCACTGTCTGTTAGATCAGGACCCCTTAGAGACTCGCTTATAGCTAAAAAGGCGCTGGCCTTCTCGTCCCACACAGCCCATTCAGGCTGCAGCAGAAACCTGAGCAGAACCCAAGCGACCTCAGAATTCACCAGGGGGGAAATGCAGAGCTGAAAACTACTGGCTTTCACACGGCCTGTCAGTGTCAGCGCCCCCACCCCCATCCCAACATCTGATCATGGGCGATTTTGCTTACGTGTGTATTTCAGATTAAGGATGTATTTATTTATTTATTTATTTAATCCCTTAGATCGTCCCATTTCATAAAAAGCCTTAATTCCTTTCTAGGGAAAAAGGTTGATAAAAAGCTCCATTTTAAAGCAATGGAGAATCATATGGCTGTGACCTTGGCATGTGAAAGGGGGGAGGGGTGGGTACATTTGGGCCCAAACCCTAGGCCTCCTTATTTCTGGGGCATTCTGGGCCCTCCATAAGAACACCAACAAGAAGACAGATTGATTTTCAAAGGTTACCATTAGCAGTTCATTCGCTGAAGTTGGGAATTTGGTATTTTTATATTATGTGAAATACATGATTTAATTATACACCAAAAACAAATTAAGGACAGGCCTTCTACACAAATTGGAGGCAGCTAAATGCTCTTTTGTGCCTGCAGCCCTCGGGTTGTTAAAGAGGCTGCTGATGCATGAGAAGTAAGTGACTGATTTAACTCATTGGGATGCAGGAAGCGACCTGCCCTCTTTTGAAAAAAAACGAGAGAGAGAGAGAGAGAGAGAGAGACTTCGAGCTACAGAAGAGAAGAGAGGGAGGGGAGAGTAGAGGAGGGAGAAGGGGAGAGAGCAAGAGATAGAGAGAGCAAGAGAGAGAGAGGGAGAGAGAGAGAACGGAAAGGAGGGAGGCAGGGAGGGAGACCAAGCCCCCGCTTCACAGCGTTGAAAGCTTCTGAATTTCAAGCAGAAAGTAGAAGGAGCCCCGTACGGCAATGAGCGTCTTTCCTTGGGCTGCGTGTGCTGAGAGTAGACAATGAAAATCTCCATCCCCCTCCCCCAGTCCTGCTAGGCTAGAGATTCGTGTTTTCGTTCCTTCTCCACGGTGGAAGACGTGTTCAATTAAATAGAGAGAGATGTGTAGATTTTTTAAAACAAACAAACGGGCCGAGATGCGGATTACCCAGAGGCGCGCCGGCTGTAAGTACCACCTTTTCCTCCGTTAGTCCGGCTCTGCGACGCCGGGTGGGCTGGGAGTGTCGTGCTGAGAGTTGGGTCGCCGCTTGTGTTTTGGCGTTCTTTATTCACAGGGGCTTCCTCGAACCTTGCACTTTTCACACGTGAGCGAGAGAAATGTTTTCTGCCCCTGTGGGCGTGCGAAACTGAGTACTAGATGACTCGAATGCGGTGACTGCAAGTGGCGGGCGGGAGGCGCCGGGGCGAGGGTTCCCGCGTCTGAGCATCCTTGAGCGCTGCCCGCTCAGCTCCGAGCGGTAAGGTCGGTTCCTGGCAATGGATGGAAATCAGGTCGCAGAGATCCCTAAGCTCCTGGGCTACCAGAAGCGCAGGGAAGACTGGATGGAATTGTAAGGAGGACTCTGAAGAGGCGGGAGGGGACCCGCACTCCCCCCCAACAGGCCTAGTTGGGAGCCCGGGGCAGCGGCGGACGAGGCCCCTGGTCCTCGGGAATTGTTCCGGCTGAGGTTAGCTCGCTAGCACCTCGCCTCTGGTGTGTCCTTTATCTACATCTCAGATAAAGGATCTTCTGATGAGGAAGGCTGAGTGAGGGCAGGACGGCGTATGTGTCTCAGAGCGCCCAGAAGGGAGAAATTCTGGGCTCTGGGAAGGTATTTTTTGGCCTCTTGAAAATGTGCAAGAATTCCGCGGGCCCAGGCTTCCTTTGTGTGGCGGGCAGCGCCAAGCGCTTTGTGCTTCACAAGGAGAAAATGGCGAGTCCTATTGTGTTTAGGCCATTTTCTTCCGGTAAGAGGATTTTCCCAAGTTTTAAATACTTCTTCTGAAAGTAGTTTTCTTGTGCCCAGAAAAGTGTGAATCGCTGGGGCTCTGCCCCGTGGCCTGGCGTGAGTACCGACTTCAGTTTAAAACTAAGAGCCTGTTTTCTCGCCCTTGAGGTACTTGTATCCGCGGATCGGTGCCACCAGAGATCCGCAGCGACTCTCAGAGTTTCAGAAAATGTGTCTGTTTATATGTGTGTGTTTATATATGTGTGTATAGATCACATTTTTTTCTGATAACCAGAGGGGGAAATAAAGAAGGAAAGATAGTTAACATTTTTGAAGGAAGGAAAGAGTATTTCTTTGCCTTCTCCCCCACCCCCAGAAACCCCAGGAGAGGTTAAATGTTACTCTGTTGGGTCAGTCTTTTGTTGTTTAAACAAGGTGAAATGTTATTTTGGATAGAGGAATTATTCGGTATGTTAGCCACTAACACATATGCCTTCTTTGCGTCCCAGGAAAAGAAGTGTAGGATGTTAGAGAGAGATTTAGTTTAATGTTCTCAGTGATGTGTGTGTGTGGTATCTATCTACATGTCTCTATATAGAGAGGAAAATATGGAGAGAGAGAATTGGTTAAGAAGGTTGCCGTTAGGCTTTTCAAGAAAATAACTTGTCAAAATGTAAAATGTTCTGCACTCATTAAACCATAAGGTAGACAAGGATGCCTATACAAGAATGTGTATGTTACTTTTATGATGGAAAAAACGTATTTCAGGTTAAAAAATATTATTTATTTGCTACAATTGTTTAGATCCTTAAATGGGGTGGTAATTTTGTCAACTCAAAAATGAAGAAATACAAACTTTCCCTATCTGCCTCTTGTACTTTCCATCTGGTGTCAGACATAGGAAATTGAAAACAACTGGGATGGGGGAGAAAACTTGAAGCCTAGAGAACCCTCCCCACATCATCTTAAAATATTAGGGAGTCACATTTGTGCAGAAGCATTGTGACTTTCATTTTTCAAAGGGCACCACTAGCTTCTCCCTTCATGTGAATCAAGACCATGGACAGCGAACTAATATGCAATCACTAAGCAAAAAGGACTCAAGTAAAATTTTATGAGACCAGAATGGAACTTTACATTCAAACCATGTTGGAAGTCAAAAACCATCTTTAGGATTTTTAAAAGGAATTAGACTCTTTTTAAGTGTGTCTTTTGAAACTCATTGAACCAAGTTTCAAAGAAACAATGTTTTACAGGTTCAGTTTTTACACTTTCTCAAATAATGCATGTTCTTTATTCAATCAAAATCAGACGAAGTCTACCTTTTGTTAGTGGTAAATAACATTTAAATCCATCCATTTTAGATGTGAACTGTTTCTTTTAAGGCCTTGGAGCAGAGTGGGAATGGATAAATTCTCCTATTAAAGGCAAGAATTAACTGAATGACACTAGAGCAAATTAAATTGATTTTTATCAGTGACTGAATTTCTAAATGCATAGAATTGGAAAAATTAAATGCCACTCTAATAGACAAGGATGATATGACTAGAGATATAATCCAGCTACTTCTCTTCCTCCTGTTTGGACTCTGTAGTCCGTAACTGGCAATGAAATATTGTGGACAAACATTTATTTTTTTCCAAGAAAGTCACAGGATTTTCATATGTACGGATTAGATTTAGAGCACAGGAGTGTGGCTCTGTGCCAGAAATCAATTTATTTTGTTTTAAGCATTCTTTGAATTGTTTTTATTCCTTCACCAAACTAAAATTCATGTAAAATCATTTCATTTGTGGCTTACATAACACGTTCAAAATTGCCCTTTTAATTTTCTAGGTTCCTGTATCTTTTGACTTATTTTATCATCTGGCTTCAATGTGACCTGTAGGGCCTGGAGAACCACATAAAGCAAATATAATATGCAAGTTAGAAAAACTAAGACAGTTTACAATTAAATTTAAGTTAAAGCATTCATTTAAAGGGATGTTTGTGTCCAATAGGGAAATTCATTCTTGATCTTCTTGGTCTTTTATGCATTGGCTTTAGCTATAAGTGAAACTATACTGCAGATTCCTGAAATTAAATGTTAAATATGCTCTGGACACATACAACACTTGTTTTCCCTTTTGGACAGCATCTTCAAAGTACTGGAAAAGAATATGCAATGACATTTTATCCTGTCCTGATCAGGACCATGGTGAGGTCCCAGTGGTTCACCAAGTGGTAGCCCAAGGCCCTGGTTGGTAGGCATTGTTAGTTAGGAAAGAATTATTGTTTAGAAAGGCACATTCGTCTAGGATGGCATTAGTGTAAAATGAAGTATAATCCTAAACCTTGTCCTAGAGGAAGGATGGAGCAGGGTTGAGCAGAGGAGATGGAGTAAAGTCGGGTCTGCTGCTGGCGCATATCAGTAAGAGGGGGTCTTTCATCTGGAGCTTGGGGTCTGCGGCCTAAGGTGCTTATTTTATTGTTACTTAACCAACCGAATGTGTGAACAAGAGCCCGAGAGCTTACATGCAAATATCAGCATGCGATGTCGAGAGGGTTGTGTGCTTCTGTCTCCATTTTAGGGAGTAGAAACCGAGAATGGTGACTTTGGCTTGCTCTGAGCGAGCCTGGGCTTTGACAGGAGGACGCTGAGGGAAGGGTTGGAGAGGATGGAGGCACGACGTCTTGGGAGCTGTCTTTGGGCCACTGTGTTGGCACCGAGGGGGGTGTGAGCAAGGGCAGGCTCTTGCCCTTTGCTGTACCCAGGCACAGCAATTGGGGGCTGCGCGCCTTCTGCGGCTCTTTGGTTTCAAGGACACAGCGAGCTGCTCAGGACTTTGGGAGCCAACATCTGTCTGACTGGTGACGTCAGCAGCCCGTGTAATCCTCTTGTGCTGAAGGCAGATGCCTTATTTGTTTGGCTGGAGCGAGCCATTAATCCCTAATTCTGGATCAGCTAGCGAGAGGGAAAGACCGGACCGCTCCGACCCACCCCCTCCCCACCCCCACCTCCCACCTTAAAGCACCTCAAACCGCAGAAGCCTCTCAGCCTCCTCTTCCCTCCGCGGACGCGCTGAGCAGCGATTGAAAACGCTTTGGTTCCTCCGCAGGTTTGAGCAGGGCTGGCAGGTCTTTCTCCTTGGAATTTCCGGGGCTATGTGTACGTGTGATTCTTTCCCTCATCGATCCCGTCGATTTTCTTGCAGTCTTGCAGTTTGCAGGGTCCTAAGCCAAGAGGGGTGGAGAATGCAGAGCGCGGGTCTGCCGTGTGGTCTGAGGGAGGGGGGTGAGCCTGGGGAATGGGGGTGCGGAATGCGGGACCGGGCGGGACGGAACAGAAGGACCGTCTGAGGATTTGCCGTTACGTATCCAACTCCCGGATTCTCTTCTCCGGACGCGTCGGTGTCCGCAGCGCGCGGTCCTCTCCTAGCGCGCCCGCAGTCCAGACCTGCGCTCCGGGCCACCGCGCAGCCCTGCGGGCTGCTGGCCTCGGGCTCAGTGTGCCGCGGGGTTCTCTCTGCGCCAGGCTGAAACCTGGGGGCGGAGGTCGCGACCAGTTCACTGGGGTCCTGTCCGCTCTTGCCTCGTCTCCCTCGCGTCCTCCCTCCCTCCTCGCATCCCTTCTCTCCAGCTTGCCCCTCCTCCCTCGCGTCTCCGTCTCTAACGCTGCGCTTTGATTCTGTTTTTCAGGGGCGCCTTCTGGGGTCTCTGCATTAAGACCGGCCCTCCGCGGTCTCTCCCGGAGCTGGGGACAGTGGAGTGGGCCTCTGCCTGGGTCGACCGCACAGTAGGGGACGCCGTGAAAAGAGCCGCCTTGCCTGCTGCCTCCAGCCCGCTGCGCAGAGGGCTCCGCCCGTAGAGGTCAACTCCCCTCACCCCTTCCTCTCTCCTGCTCGCCCTCCCTCCGCCCGGCCCCGGCACTTCCATCCTCCTGATTCTTGCCGCAGTGTGAGGAGTGAGCGTCCGCTGCGCTGCCCTGAACTGAACCCCCCAACCGGGCCGAGACTCGAGGTCCGCGCTCCCAGGCAGTGGGGAAGCCTTAGCGAGCAGCCTTTTCTCTCTGCAGCAAAACCATAGCCAGACCAGATGGGCCGCCCAGCTCTCTCGGGACTAGGCAGGTGCTGTTGAGTTAATTTTTCCGCATTACAAAGAAAGATGACCCAGGCCGCCCTTGGACTCTCATCATTTTCCAAAATCTTGCAGCCAAAACCGCGGTAACGTTAACAGAGGACGGAGAGAACAGGCGTATCTGTGTGTTTATCTTACTTGCACACACGCGTGTTTGTTTTCCCTTTTGTGTGCTAGATTTCATCCCCGACCGCAAGATATGATTGGCAAAGGTTTCTGCAGCCAAACACGCAATGGCGCGGTCCTTTAAAACCTTCCATTTCTTGTAAGTGCCTTAGAAGAGATTCAGGGCGAACCAACTGGGTTAATTGCCTCCAGTAAAATAACACGATTACAAAATTAGATCTGTACCGGAGGGGTAATTAGCTTGATCCACGTCGTCATTTGAAAACCAGATTTCTAGGTGTATGTATGTGTTTAGGTGTGCAGTAAATGGCATGGCGATATCACGCATATGCAGACGCAGACACATGCACCGTCTACACTTGCACCAAACAGCCTAATTAGCAGCGATTTTGGCAGATGTGTCAGGAGGCGAGCTGAGACAGGAGCTGGGCTTATGAGTTATGATTCTGTAGGTAGGGACTCGGAACTGGGGGCGGAGGGTGGGTTGGGAAAGGAGTGTGGTAGTTACAGTGAGTCTGTTATTTTCCGGATCAAGATCAGAGACTCTGCCCTCCGTGTTCACAGCGGACCTTGATTTAATGTCATACAATTAAGGCACGCGGTGAATGCCAAGAGCGGAGCCTACGGCTGCACTTGAAGGACACCAGAGCATCTCAGGGTCAGAGAAGGGAAAAGGCAGTTGCAGGAATTTAGGGGTTGGTAGAACGAACCCATCCCTTACCCTGTAAAGCCCCTTGAATTGATTCCAGAGTCAAGCCAGTGTTGGAAAGTGAAAGCTCATACTTTGCAGTTAGACCCTCAGCAATCCGAAGGCGAATCGCCAAAGGGGATGTTAGGAGAGCCACACTGACAGCTGTCAGAAAAGCAGCAGTTCCCGTCTGTGTGAAGATGCTAGAGAATTGAAGCATTTAGAATGCACTGGTTCTTCCAAGAGCACGTAGTGCGATTGTCTGCAATCCTGGGGCAAGCTGGGAAAACACAGAAGAGAGAAATGTAACCCCGAATGGTGCCCTGGCCGTACTGCACAGGAAACCTCAAATGGAAGATCGGAACAAGCCCTCGCCCCATTGCCCCTTGACTTTTTCTCTTCCCAATCTTGAGGTGTCCTTGGTTGACTTTAAAATGCAAAGATAACTTTCTTGTTTGGGCATTGTTGGTGCCAAATGGCCAAATCGGTCAAAGGAGTAGCATAAGGGGAAAGGACCAGGTCAGACACTTTAGAAGGACCTGGTAAATTAATTTATTGTAAGCCAGTGAGGTGGACTGTGTGAAGGTAGCAGTTCTGCACGAAGGCCTAAGAGCCAAAGAAAAGCCCAGGCCGAGGAAGCGAGCTTTGATAGATGTCTTTGTTCTGCCTTGCCCTGCAGGGGCCGGAAACAAAGGGAAGGAGCTAAGAGGATGCACCAAGGTGGCCGCGCCCTCTGCGCCCGGCGCTGTCCGTGGTGCTGACCGTGACCCGCTTCTCTCTCCGTATTTAAGCCAGAAAAGCAACAGGACTATTCCACTCTCACCCAAAAGAATAATAGAATATTAGATTAATTGAAAAATGAAAATTAAAGGGAAGGAAAGGCTACGTACAGCGAAACAACATTTTACCGAAATAGTTCACTGTAGCTGCTGTCACCCTTGTCTGGTCCTTTTCAGCCGTCACGTAGTTATGCACGCAATCAATATACGCATCCCGGAAAGAAACTTCAGTTTATTTAGGCTGAAATACGAATCTAAGCAGTGGGAAGTACTTGCAAAAAAGAGATTGCGGAGAATAAGGCTTTATGTTTTTTCTTTCTTAAATAATCTTTCTTAAAACATAGAAATATAAGATTCTCGGCTGTGGATCTTCATGCTCACGTGGTCACCAAAGGGAATCTAAATGGACTCAAGTGTGAGCCTCGAGGCTTAACAGGAAGGGACGGGACGGGGACCGACTAGGTGAGACACAGCAAAAGCCCACTCAGCCTGCCAGCTTGAGCCGGGCTCTTAGCAGGACAGCCTTCATAGGCGGGTCCAGAGGACCGAGCTCTGCAGAGCGCTCGAGTGCGCAGGAGCCTGCTCCTCACATCCCGGCCGCCGGGAGGCACTGGAGGGCCAGGAGGCCTGAAACCGCACTGCGGAAAAACCGACCACAACAGCTTCCACTTCACAGCTCCCAGGACAGAAAGAGGCAGGGCGGTTTTCTAGATCCTATGCAATGAAGATTTCCTTTAGGAGTTCAGGGTCAGCTGGGTCAGTACTGTCATAACCAATACATCTTTACATTTCTCGGCACATTTCCTCATACTAACCTAGGTATTGAGAGCATTAAATATAAACAATAAAAATTCAAGTTCCCTAATCAATGAATCAAAATGAGAAGGGAAGAGACAGGAAAGGGAAATCATCCAATTAGTATGCAGCGATAGCCTCTCAAGAAAACAAAACCAAAAACTGCTATGTGTTTACTTGCATCGTTTATAAATTTACCAACATAAACGCTGTTGAAGTTAATAACAGACAGAATAGTTCAGATTCAACAGTAGAGGCAGCTGCATGGATTTTGAGGCATACTTTGAATAGAGGTGTTCTCAGTAGATTCCTTTTTCCCCATCTGACAGAAATGTATCAGATGATTAATAGAGCGGCCGGTCGCAATATCCTCCTTGCCCCCTCTCTCAGGGCTGATTTTATTTGTCCTCGGACTTTATAACTCTGCAAGTTAGGTGTATCGCGTCAACTAATTACATTGGTTTATATTTAATTTCAAACAATTTGAGAATGGGTAGGTAAAACATACTGGAAAACAGAGGCTACTCAAATAACAAAGGGCTGGGAATATTCCTCTTGTGCCAATTAAAAACAGCCATTGGAAATTGACATGAGTTTAAAGCATTCCACGTTATCCTGGAAGCCATGATTTCCTTCCAGTATTCATCCAGTTCCGCTGATCTCCTGTGTCCACATCAACTTGGATAATTCATTGAGCAAAAAAAGTTGAAGGCTGCAAAACGGTCCTTCTGGAGTTCTGCTGTAATTCATATTATCTAATAGGAACACACCTAATCCCCTTCATCCTAATCCTACCTGTTTAGGACAGTCTAAACTCGTCCTTCAGAAAGCTTAATCAGTTTAAAGATTGCTTTCAAAATAGAAATGAAATATGTGATGTGAAAAAGAGAGGGTAAAATACTACCTACCACTTAAATAAGGGAACACACAATTTAATAATTTGGTTGCCGAGATTAAATCCAGAGAAGTTATTGACCCCTAATGTTTCTAGATTTTAAAGACTATTTTCTCTCTTTTGAAAATGATCATCCAGTTTAACGTCTATACAAATTTTCCTCCCATGAAATTATATTCACACCAGTTTTGCAATAAAACAACTTAGGCTTCGCAAGTGGAGACCTTCTGCGCGGTTTGCTGTGGGAGTCCTTTGACAATCACAAACTTTTCTCTAGGAGTCTGAAATTAAAGTTTTTCGGAATAATTTAGGGACAGCTTGACACGTTGCGATTCTTAACGACAGCCCTCCAGGGAAATAGTGTGTTTCCTTCCTAGGAACAAGCTGCTAGCGCTGTGCACCGGGAGGTATCCCGTGTCAACAATGCCAGAGCGCCCTCTGCTGCCTCAAAGAGGCAGGACCCTAGTTACAAAAGCCAGATGGCACTGAGTCTCAGTAAGCGGAGGGAACGTTAAGCTGTTAGAAACATGTAATCTTTAAAATTTAAAAGCTCTCATCATATTCTATTTTGAAAGGGTCACCTGATTTTGATTTTGCGAATTCCTTGCGCGATTTTTTCTATTCTAAAAAGTAATGAAAAATCAGTATTTTGAAGTTTCCAGTCTGTCATTTATGTAGTTATATGTCTCCACCTCTCCTCAATTTTTTTGTGAAAATATGAAATAGAAAATTAAAGTGCAAGGCTTTTGTGTAAAATAAGTGAAAGAAGACTTCCTAGTTTCTCCAGGTAACTAAGATTAAATAAAGTAAATATGATTTTAATTAAAATAAAGAGACCAAATACACATTTTTAACAAAAGGTAATTAAAAAAGAAAATAAGGCCTGGTGTAAAAGATTGTCTTATTGTGACATCTAACCAAGATTTGCTCAGATTTTAAGTTCTGAAATAAGGAAATGAATTATGTTTGAGGAAGAAGGTGAAAAATTTGCTTCACACTATTATGTATACTTTTTTTTGGCCTTAAAATCTTTATAATAAATTTATATGCATACTCATCTTACAAAATCTGCTTTATAAAAGAATTCATTGTGAGTAGAAGTAATCAGATATAGTATCAGCATGCAAAAACCCGTAAGAAGTGTTATTTGCATTAAAAAATGAGTTTTCCAGTATGGGACAATCTATTCTCAAATGAAACGGAGGAGATTTTTTCAAAAGATTAAAACCCTTTTTAATTTTTATGTATTATAGGGGTTACATTGATTAAAATAAATGTACAGCTGTATTAATTCAACATTATGAATTTCAAAATTGCAGCCTATTTCAAAACACACATCTTTGCCATGAAGACTATTGTTGAATGTGCTAATGTAATAAAAGGCTTCTATTAATTTTGTGGTTGTTAAATAAATCTTGTAAAAATAAAGTTCTGTTTATTTATGGTGTCAAAACGAATTAGCTGCCTGGAATCACTTATTTTAATCCTAGATTTTAAATGAAAATTCCTATGAGAATATTAAATATAATGTTGTTGAGATTATTATGCTAAATATATGCTAAATTTTTTTAATTATATAATTTTACAACTGACTATAATGGAAAAAAGTCTTGATTAAGTATTCAGGCAAGTTAAATATTTGACTAAGCATATGAAATTTCGTATAGCTGCAGGTACATATGTCTTCTGAAAGCTACTTCTACAAAGAATACATTTACAAATTTGTGGAATAATAGGTGGAAAAATACTAGAACTTTTATGTTTATATTCCAGACAGTTTTTAAATTAAAATGTCATTTTTTTCTTTTACTGAATCTACATTTATTCCAAAATAAATTCATATTTTATACAGGAGAGAATAAACACAGTGACATAATTTTGCTACATTCCTAATAGTTATTATGATAAGTCTGAAAATGACTTCTAAGTAAATAAAATGCATAATACATATCTAAACATTTTTTAATATTTTCAAAACCATATGTTCTATTCTTTACAAGAAAAACTGAAGCGAACCAACTAAAAGAGCTTCTCAGATATACAACAGTTGCTGCCCAAG